GTGAGTGTGAGTGTGTGTGTGTGTGTGTGTGTGTGTGTGTGTTGGCTGATGGAAAGTTTGCTGTGGAACGCGCAGTTTTTTCTCCTGATGCCGAATATGCGCGTCCTGCTGAACGCTGATTGGTCGAGAGAGTAGCTGAAGATTGTGTGAAATGACTTAAATAGCGCTGGAGTCTCCTGTGCGCAGAAGAGCAGAACATCTCCAACACACACAGAGTCAAAGATACAAGGGGATTTCTGCAAAGCGTCTTGATTATAAGAGCGTCTCTTTTCAGGTGAGTGTTTCTTCTCAGCGCTGTGCTTTCGAGAAGGTTCTTCACACGTACAGACAGATGTGTGATGTGATGTGATGTGATGTGATTTCAGGGGAATCATGACTCTGAGAGGACTCGTTTTGTGCCTCTTGCTGTGGAGTTCCGCGAGCAGCAGACGCGTAGGTGAGGAGAAACTTTATGCTTTGGTTCTTTTTCATGTGCTCGGTATATTCGTGCGCACTTACATTCGCATTCGAACCCGCAGAAATGCCTGATGATGACACCGTGTTTGACCTGTTCGAGCTCACTCATGTCCACAAGAAGCATCACGGGGTGAGTTTAGTGAAGGGACCCGATCCAAACAGCCCCGCGTACAAGATCCTGAACCCGAACCTGATCCCCTCAATGCCCGAGCTCTCCTTCAGGGACCTGATCTACTCCATCCAGAGCGAGAGAGGCTTCATCTTCACCGCCAACCTCAAGCAAGCCAAGCGCACCAGAGGCAGCCTGGTCTCCGTGGAGAGGACAGACGGCACCGGATCCGTCTTTGAGATCATCTCCAACGGGAAAGCCAACACCGTGGATCTGGTGTTCTGGACCGCGAGCGGGCAGCATGTGGTGTCCATTGAGGACGTGGACGTGGCGAACGGACACTGGAAGAACATCACGGTGTTTGTGCAGGAGGATCGAGCTCAGGTCCATGTGGGCTGCGAGGAGATCAACACTCAAGAACTCGATGCTCCGATCCAGCAGATCCTGAATCAGGAGAGCGCGGACATCTCGAGCCTGAGGATCGCCAAAGGAGCCGCCAAATCCGATCGCTTCATGGTAAGAATCTGGGTTTTGTTTATGTTTGATGTATCAGAGCTGCATGATTGTTGTGGTATTATATTAGTTATCTGTGGTACTATCGTGCTATCCGTTGTGTTATATTATCATTTGATGCGTATTTTCGTCCTCTAACGAGACGTTTGGAAACGCGTAAAGACGCGGTTCGTGCGCGCGAAGTGTTTTAGTTTTACAGTCTCCGTCTGAATGTTCCATGTAATAGTAGCTGCTGGAACTGTTTTGGGTTTTGTTCTGCCAATCTCAGTTTTTGACCATTATCTCGTTTTCCAGGGAGTTCTCCAGAACGTGCGGTTTGTTTTTGGAACGACGCTGGATGCGATTTTACGCAATAAAGGATGCGAGAGCTGTGAGTGTTTAATCGAGCTTATGTTGTATAAAAACTTTTTATATTCTAAATACTGAAAAAATAAAGTGTAATTAAATAAATATAGTATGTATTTCTATATAAAAAACATAAATATTATATTAAAGCTTGTGTTGTCAATACAGCAACCTTCATCACTGATGTCATGACCTTGGAAAACCCCGTGAACGGATCCAGCCCGGCCATCCGCACTGATTACACCGGACACAAGTCTAAAGGTCAGATGATCGTCATGTGTTTGTAATGTGTCTGTGGTCTCATCATGGACTCGTGAAGTTAACATCAGAATCCTGTTCCTCTTCAGATCTGCAGGACATCTGTGGATTTCCATGCGACGATCTTTCGAGCATGTTTAAGGAGCTCAAGGGACTCGGCCTGGTGGTGAAGCAGCTGTCAAACGAGCTCCGCCAATTGGTGAGGATCAAAACCAGCTGTCTGTGTGATGTTCATACATACATGTGTCTCTCCACCCTGTTTCTCTTCTAACGCCAAGCCGTTGTTCCTCAGCCACTTCCCTCAAGTTGTTTCTAATGACAGTTCCTCTGCTCTTCTTCTGGCTTTCAGACAGCAGACAACAACTTAATCATGACTCAGATTAAAATTCAAGAAGGGGTTTGTCTGCACAACGGCATCGTTTACAGAGACAAAGACGAGTGGACGGTGGACAGCTGCACCCACTGCACGTGTCAGGTATGGGTCTTCTCACTGTTCAACTAATGTAAAGTGTGCTTTTCACTTAATTTATACTGGTTAGTATTTGTTTAGTGTGGGTAGCTGGTGGTTAAGTTAGTCAAAATCCCCGGTGGAAAGCCTGGTCTTGGTGTTGGGGAAGGGAAAAGGGTGCATTGTCTTCCTCTGTGTTTCTGTCTCACACATGCATCTAAATGGCTGGGATTCAGGAATGTTTTAATTGGTGAGTGATACCCGCTGTCTCTGGTTTCCGGTGAGACCAGCGCCTGCGTGTGTGTTAGTGTGTGTGCGGTTGTGGCCGCTGACTCAGTATGTCTTCTCCACCCTCATGCTGGCCACATTAAAACACTTTGTTAGTCTGGTCAGATGTATTCCCCTGCTGCCCGCTCAGAGATTATATCACCACAAGATTTTTCTGCCAAAGCCAAGGGTCACTTTTTATTGCCAGCAGAGAGGCGTTTATTTCCCATCCATTATGTGCAGCTGTCAGGATTGTGCAATTAAACTCGCTTCAAATATTTTATTCACAGAACTCCGCCACTGTGTGCCGTGAAATCTCCTGTCCTCTCATGCCCTGTGCCAACGCTACTGTCCCAGACGGTGAATGCTGCCCACGCTGTGGAACACGTAAGTCAGGTTTCAGAATTCATTATGTAGGTCATCGTTCATCTGATCTTTGGCCACATTTAGAGATATTTTCTCTGATTGTTTTCTTCAAGCGAACGATGCGGGTGTGGACGGCTGGTCGCCCTGGTCCGAATGGACACACTGTTCGGTGACCTGTGGAAGAGGCATTCAGCAGCGCGGACGCTCTTGCGACCGAATCAATAGCAACTGCGACGGCACGTCTGTCCAGACGAGAGACTGTTACACGCAAGAATGCGACAAACGCTGTGAGTTCACCAACATGCACTGCTGGCTTCATATTTGGATCCCCATGCACATCTTTCATGCTTATTTCTGTGTTCATGCAGTCAAGCAGGATGGTGGCTGGAGCCACTGGTCTCCCTGGTCTTCTTGCTCAGTGACGTGTGGCGAGGGCGTCATCACTCGCATCCGGTTGTGCAACTCCCCTACGCCTCAGATGGGTGGGAAAGACTGTGAGGGAGACGGTCGTCAGACCGAGCCGTGCCAGAAGGACCCGTGCCCCGGTGAGTGTTAGCAACTATTTAAGTGTTTGCAGAATATAACCTGAAAACCCAAATGACCCTGTATTTCTCTTGGTGTCTCAGTGAATGGAGGTTGGGGACCCTGGTCATCATGGGACTCTTGCTCCGTCACGTGCGGTGGAGGACTGCAGCGCAGACACCATCTGTGTAACAGTCCCGCTCCCAAATACGGTGGAAAAGAATGTATGGGTGACTCCAAAGGCACCCGTTTGTGCAATGCCCAGTCGTGTCCAGTTGGTAAGACATAAAGCTGAAATCAAGCTGAAAATTCTTGTCACAGGATATCAAAATAACACAGTTCCGTACTATCATGAACAGACGGATGCCTGTCTAACCCATGCTTCGCCGGCACCAAATGCACCAGTTTCCCCGATGGCTCCTGGAAGTGCGGCGAGTGTCCGGTTGGATACACTGGGGATGGAGTCCACTGTCAAGACATTGATGAGGTGAGGTGTCACGCCAATGAGACAGACACTTCTAAACAAAGACACTGGTGTTTCTAAAAATTCTTAATTTTGGTATCTGCAGTGCGAAAAAGTTCCAGATGCCTGTTTCGTGCTCAATGGAGTCCATCAGTGTGTGAACACAGAACCAGGCTACAACTGCCTGCCCTGCCCTCCACGCTACTCTGGACAGCAGCCCTTCGGCAGGGGAACGGAGCAGGCCATTGCCAACAAACAGGTTAGACTAGTCTAAAGAACAGTGTTAACGATGGGAAGGACCAGTTCTTTCTCCTTCCATGAGGTGCTAACCAACATTAAATCGACCTATTCACAGGTCTGCACACCTAGAAACCCATGCGAGGACGGCAGCCATGACTGCAATAAGAATGCCAACTGCATCTACCTGGGCATCTTCTCTGACATCATGTACCGCTGCGAATGTAAACCAGGCTACGCTGGAAATGGTTACATCTGTGGAGAGGACTCTGACCTTGACGGCTGGCCAAACACGGACCTCCATTGTGTGGAAAACGCCACCTACCACTGCAAGAAGGTATGTGACCATTTCCTTACCATATCCCATTGTACAATGAGGTTACAAAATCTTCATCAAAACATGTCATTTTTAGGACAACTGTCCTGACCTTCCCAACTCTGGTCAAGAAGACTATGACAAAGATGGAACTGGAGATGCTTGTGACAATGATGATGACAATGATGGGATCCCTGATGACGGGGTAAGTCATACACACTGTTCTTCTACAAGAGCATTTAGAGTTGACATTTAGAGCATGATACTGACTAAAAAAATAAAAAGAACAGAGTGAACAGGACAGAGAGAGAAACTTTGCCAGTAGCAAATAAATCAAGCAATTATGATGGCTTCCATCCAGCCATTCTGGATCTCTTGGTTTAACATCCATAATTCAAATCGTACACTTGGAAAAAATTTGACCGGGCAAACAAACAGACAGTCAGTCTTGCATTCCAGCACAGCTGTGTCCCAAACCGTCACATCCATGGCATATCGCTTCAGACATTAATTTTGTTTAGAGCTTTTCAATGATGTGTGTGTATATTTATACATTTCGGTCTGTGAGGTAGAGAGCGTCTCCAGATGTTTTCTGTCTTTCTGGTTTCATCACTGACTTGGCTGGATGTTCTTGTTTTGAACCAGGACAATTGCCCGTTCATCTTTAACCCAAGACAGTACGACCATGACCGCGATCAAGTTGGTGACCGATGTGATAATTGCCCGTATGACAGTAATCCAGAACAGACCGACACCGACAACAACGGCGAGGGTGATGCCTGTGCCATTGACATCGATGGTGATGGTAAGTCTTTCTTTCATCATGTAACCCCATCAACACAAAGAACACAGAAACCATTATAAGGGTGTTTTGGTGTAACACTGGAATATATTTGTCTAGGCATCCTCAATGAGAAGGACAACTGTCCATATGTGTACAACACTGACCAGAGAGACAGTGACCGAGACGGAGTCGGTGACCACTGTGACAACTGCCCACTGGAGCACAACCCTGACCAGGTGAGATGCTTGAACTTGCTTTTTTAAGACAAGTGTGCAGCTATGAACAGCAGATGATGACGGTTTTGCAATAATCCATGTGATGTCACAGATCGACTCCGACTCTGACAACATTGGAGACAAGTGTGACAACAACCAGGACATTGATGAGGATGGACATCAGAACAACCTTGACAACTGTCCCTACATCCCCAACGCCAACCAGGTCGACCACGACAAGGACGGCAAAGGAGACGCCTGCGATCATGACGACGACAATGATGGTGTGCCTGACGACAAAGACAACTGCCGACTCGCCTTCAACCCAGATCAACTGGATTCGGACGGTGAGTCCAACGCGCCGGCGCTGATTTTAGTCCATTTTATGTTACATTTTATTTGTGCAAGTGTAAACTTCCACATGCTGAATTTTAGTCTCTTTTCTCCTGCCCAGGAGACGGGCGAGGTGACGTTTGCAAGGACGACTTTGACGTCGATAACGTGCCAGATATTTACGACGTTTGCCCGGAGAACTTTGGCATCAGTGAAACAGACTTCCGTAGGTTCCAAATGGTTCCTCTCGATCCCACGGGAACTTCCCAAATCGACCCTAACTGGGTCGTCCGTCACCAGGGCAAAGAACTTCTGCAGACCGTCAACTGTGATCCTGGCATCGCTGTTGGTAAGTGGTTGAGAGATACCGCTCATGATAAACACATTCATCTACATCCAAATGTTAATCATCTTCTTCTTATTGTTGTCCCTCAGGTTATGATGAGTTCAATGCCGTGGACTTTAGCGGCACGTTCTTCATCAACACAGACCGTGATGACGACTACGCCGGCTTTGTGTTTGGCTACCAATCCAGCTCACGTTTCTACGTGGTGATGTGGAAACAGATCACACAGACCTACTGGTCTCATACACCCACTAAAGCACAGGGGTACTCAGGACTGTCCATTAAAGTAGTGAACTCGACCACAGGACCGGGCGAACATCTCAGGAACGCTTTGTGGCACACTGGAGACACCGAGGGACAGGTACATATCGTTCTCAAGCAGTCGTGAGAACATTCAATTGAGTTTGGCATTTGAAATGTCCTGCTCACCTTATTTTGGACCATTTGCAGGTGCGTACCCTGTGGCATGATCCCAAGAACATTGGCTGGAAGGATTACACCGCCTACAGATGGCAACTAATCCACAGACCCAAAACCGGACACATCAGGTAAGTGTGGAAGCCAACTTAGATCAGGGGTGCCCAATCCCGTTCCTGGAGCTCTACTTTTCTCAGTTCAGCTCCAGTCCTCATCAAGCACAACTGAACCAGCTAATTAAGAGCTTGAGGACCACTTGATAATTGCACACAGGTGTGATGGAGCAGGGTTGGAACTGAACTCTGCAGGTAGGCGTATCTCCAGGAACAGCATTGGGCGGCCTCAACTTAGATCAACCATTTTGTCCTAGGTACAAAACAACAGCTAAATCAGAAAAGCAGCTTCACTCACTTCTGTTCTGTTTATTGATTTTTAGAGTTATCATGTATGAAGGCAAAAAAGTCTTGGCTGATTCAGGAAGCATCAATGACAAGACATATGCCGGAGGAAGACTTGGCCTCTTTGTCTTCTCTCAAGAGATGGTTTACTTCTCAGACCTCAAATACGAATGCCGAGGTAACACGTTTGGATGGTTTTGAAGAATATTCCTCTCTATAGTTCTCTTATTGTTCTGGAAAGTTAATGAGTGTTTGTTTGACTCTTTTGCAGATGCATCATAACGGCCCCATCAGCGTTTTCCTTAAAGATGCGCCCGCTATCTGTCGGTTTAAATGTGTTCTGTTATAAAACTCTTCTGCGGTGGGGTCGAGTATCCAAACGTGGAGGCCAACAACTTTCAATCTAAACAAGGACCACAGGAGCAGGTCGAGCATGAAGACCCATCAATACTTTCATCTCATCTATCTCAGCTTGTTTCTTATCATGTGATTGGTAAAGGGAAGTTCTTCTGCAACGTCGCCTCAGATCTGCTGTGGACTATGATCATGACAAAGGAGCCACTTGCAAACTGAAGCAAAAGCTTCCCCTTGTTTCTGGTGGGTTTGAGATGCCACAGCAGGAACGGTTAAGGAGTGACGCACAGGACAGACCATCTGCGAGCATGAAGACCCATCAATACTTTCATCTCATCTATCTCAGCTTGTTTCTTATCATGTGATTGGTAAAGGGAAGTTCTTCTGCAACGTCGCCTCAGATCTGCTGTGGACTATGATCATGACAAAGGAGCCACTTGCGAACTGAAGCAAAAGCTTCCCCTTGTTTCTGGTGGGTTTGAGATGCCACAGCAGGAACGGTTAAGGAGTGACGCACAGGACAGACCATCTATTTGACTTTGTGAAAACGAATTCTTCTGCATTGATTGAGGCATCCAAATCTTCAAATCTTCAGGACCCCCCCCCCCCCCCTCAAATTCGGGAT